GTATAGCTATTCATTGTTAAATACATTTTTGTATGTAATTTTTGATCTAAATATAAAACAGTAAAATAAAATCATGCAAATAGTTTTGACCAATGGTCAATAAGACCATATTTTTAACAGATCGGTGCATATTGTAAATTAACCATTGGCCAATTTATATTCGCATAATTTTTCATATTTATATAAATAATATGATTGCCATTAATAAAATGTAAGATAATTGGATTTCTTCTATGTACCGGTGGTACTTCTAATGGAAAAAACAACATACTCTGCCTATTTAACTCATCGAAAATAGCAATAGGAACAGAGAATGTGTCAGCGGCCAATTGCGCACAATCGGGAGATAGAAACCAAAGAGAAGGTGAGCAGAGTGATGCTCTGCATTCCAATATCTGACTGATTAAATCAGTATTATATCCCAGCCAATCTTTGTAAATCTCCATGCGTCTAGTTAATTGACCACTCATAGCTAACTTAACAAGAATCCAATTCTCCTCATTTTCTCTAATAGCAACCGCAAGTGATCGGAACCCACAATTACCATCGCTTTTTGGATCATAAATTTGGTCAATATCGTTAATGGGAATTCGAGGACTTATTAAGATTTTTGGCCTTTGAACTTAACAAAAAAAGAAAATTAATAAAATTTAAATCCTTTTTTTAAAACACAGTTAACTCTTTCTATAACGAATTGATGATTTTAGAAAAAAAAAGTCCGTTATAAAAATTACTATATTTTCTTAAGAACCCATGATATAAAATGTTAAAATTTTGAGTTCATTATATCCAGAGTCGACTGTATTCACATACATTCAATAGAAATTTGTGAAGAATTGGTGCTTTTTGTTTGCTTTTTTTCGACAGGTTTAATTTTTTTTTTCTTTTCGTTTTTTTCTATAAGTTCTACAGCAATAGGTAACCGTTTTGTTCCAGAAGGACGGCCCTTTCCCACAATTTTTTCAGGAGCTTTTACATCAGAAATATTAGTCACAGGAACCACTAAAACCTCATCAAGTTTTTCCAAAAGAGCCGATTTCTGTTGTTCATCTGGAAATTCTACGTATCGAGATTCAATTTCGTATAGGCAAGACTTAAGCGAGGAAAACTTATCAGAGTTAGACAAAGCTAGGTCAGTTAAATTTTGTACTTGACTATTAGGATCGAGCTGATCTTGATCAGGGAATAATAACCATCTTTCTGGAATTGTAGAAAGCATCACAGAACCTTTTGCTGGAAGTATATGTTTGCAGGGTATATTATAATTAACGCATAGATTACATAAACAGACCGTATATGTTGTTGTTTTAAGAAGTTCATTCTTAATTTTATTTAAGGCAAATTGAGCTACTTTTCCTAAGAGTGGTGCCAATCGATTCTTATCATTATGCACTAATAAGGGATCAATGCCAATACTTTCATTTTCTTTTTGCAAAGAACTCTCCTCACAATGTAAATGTAGCCATCTATCTAAACTATTAAAGGCCTTTGTCAAACTTCCAGAAGTTTCAAGAGCATGCTTTAATGCTGAATGCGAACCTTCGACACGTTGTGTCGTTGTTGCTCCAAAGTGCATAACTCTACTTGTATAAACCCTGACCCATTTTTCCTTGACATTCATCATTCTTTTAAAAAATCAAATTATTAGAATATACTTACATATAATTATAGGTTTATAAAATCATTAATTCAATTTAAAATAGTAACAAGTACTATTATTAGTTACATTATGGATAATAACTAATTATATTATATAGCCAAGTGTTATACTGTAACTACCATTAAGTGCTGAATCGTGGATCTCTTAGAGTTATACCCAGGACAATTTGAACGAATAGTATACATACCATGCCTTAATAGTAACTTTATACATTGGATAATAGCTGGTAGTAAAAATTGAAGAGGATAAGTAAAAATGCATCTTGAGTATATCTTTAGTCATTGAACATAAATACTCGAATCCATCGGTCAACACTTAATGGTAGTAATGCAGGAGAATAATGGTAACTTAATTACAATAAAAAGAGATTCTCAATTTTTACAATAAAGTGTAATTAAGTTAGAGAGTAATTAGCCTGCTCCACTAAACGTAACATAAATCTGTTGTAATAAGTCAGTAATTATCCATAATAACTAATAATAATACGACAGGGTGAAGCCCGCGATAGAAACCCACAAAATTGGTTACGTTATTGATGCAGTTCACTAAAATAGTAACTCCTCTGTCACGGGTTTCACCCTGTCATATAATAATTGTTTAGAATTTAATAAAAAAATAAATAAATAAAAATAAACCAAATAATAAAATAAATAAATAATAATAAATAAATAATAA